GTGTATGTATGTATATATATAATTTCTTTAATTTATATACAGGGGATGAGACAGGTATATGTTGCCCTGTCTATTGCCCTATTTTAAGGCTAGAGAAATTTTCTTCCCCAGTCTCTATCCCCACCCCATTTCTCCCCCCGTGGGGTGGGTGCCTCTTGTTGCTACCCCTAGAAAACATCATGAATTCCTGCCAGGTTTGCAGGTAAAGCTAATCTATATGCTACTTTCCTAATATGTTTCAGTGTCTCAAATGGTCATATATATTTAAGGCTTAACTTGCCATCTTTTCCATGCTTGATGATTCCTTCCTTTAGAAAAACTTTATCCCCTTCCAAAAATTCTAAATCCTTATGCTGATTGTAAACATAACTCTTTAATCTACTTTGGGCAATGGTCAGTATTTGTTTTTATCAGTTTTACCTTTTCAATGGTATTTTCTATCTAGGGACTGGTGTTTGGTACAAGAATCTTCCTTTTTTCAACTTTCCACAAATATATAGAGGATTGACACCTTTTCCCATATGGCGCTTCATAAGAGGCCATGCCAATAGTGGACTGGTAACTATTGTTATATACAAATTCTGCCAAAAACAAATACTTTTCCAGTTTCCCTGGAAATTCAACACAAATGCTCGAACATGTCTTCTAATATTTGTATGGTCCGCTCAGACTGGCTATCAGTTTGGGGTTGGAATGAGATGCTAAACTTTAATCTTGTTCCAAGGGCTTCTTGTAATAGTTTCCAAAGTCATGAGGTAATCTTTTATCCCTATTGGAAGTAATATCACAAGGTATTCCATGTAGTCGAATTATTTCATCTACATACAGCTTGCCTAACTTTTCTAGAGAATATGTCATATTCATAGGTAGGAAATGAGAGGAATTGGTAAGCCTACCCACTACTACCCATATTGCATCATGTCCTTTTTGAATCTTTGGTAATCCACTAACAAAACCCATGGTCACTTCATCCCATTTCCATTTTGGAATCAGTATAGGTTGGAATAACCTAGATAGTTTTTGGTGTTCTACTTTCAATTATTGACAGGTCAAACAAGTGGATATATAACATGCAATATCTCTCATCATGTTGTTCTATCAATAATATTGCTTTAAGTCCCTGTACATCTTGTTTCCTTTAGGATGTGTTGTATACTTTGAACAATGTGCCTTTTTCAAAATTTCTTGATTAATGTAGTCATCATTTAGAACACAAACCCTATTTCAAAATTTTAGCATCTTTTTTTCATTAATTTGAAAATCCACTAGCTTTCAACCTTTACTTTTTCCTTTAGGTCTAGGACTTCCTAATCTTGTTCTTAAACATCTCTAATTGTATTATATAATTCAGCTTGAATCCTAATGTTGGCACAAGTAATTCCTTTTTAATTCTTAATCAGCTTCCAATCACCTACATGTTCTAGTAGTTCCGATTCCTCTATACTGAATATGACTATTTTAACTTTTCGACTTAAAGGATCCACGACAACATTAGCTTTGCTAGGGTAATAATTGATGGTACAATCATAATCTTTCAAATATTTGATCCACTTTCTTTGCCTCAAGTTTAACCCTTTTTTTGAGAGAAAATCTATTTCAAATTCTTGTGATATGTAAAAATTTCAAAGGTTACCCCATCCAGGTAGTGTTTCCGTTTCTTAAGGGCGAAGACAATTGCTACCAACTCTAAATCATGTATGGGGTAATTTGGCTTATAGCATTTTAATTATCTTGAGGCATATGCAATAACTTTTCCTTTCTACATTAGTACACATCTGAATCCTTCCTTTACGGCTTCAATATATACTAAAAATTCATCTTTTCCTTCTGGCAATGTAAATATAGGGGTAGTTGTTAGGCGCCTTTTTAATTCTACAAAACTTTGCTCGCACGTGTCATTCCATTCAAACTTTGCTTTCTTTTGGATCAATTTTGTCAAGGGTACAGCCAATTTTGAGAAATCTTACACAAACCTTTGATAATATCCTACTAACCCCTAAGAAACTGTGAATTTCCATTTTAGCAGTTGGCTTTTTCATGATAAATAGCATCTATCTTAGGAGGGTCAATTGCAATTCCATTGCCAGATATCACATGCCTCCAAATAAAACTCGCATTTAGTAAACTTGGCATACAACTTATTATTCCTCAACGTTTACAAGACCCTATGTAAATATTCCTCATGTTCCTTTAGGGATCTTGAATATATCAAAATGTCATCTATGAAAATCACAACGAATTGGTCTATATAAGGTTGAAATATTCTATGCATTAACTTCATAAATGCCATTGGCACATTGATTAATCCAAACGGCATGATGACAAACTCATAATGACCATAGTAGGTCTTGAAAGCAGTTTTTGGTATATCCCCACTCTTTATCTTCAATTGATAGTAAACTTGCTTCAAGTCAAACTTGGCAAATACTTTAGAACTTTGCAGCTGATCAAATAATTCATCTATTAATAGTAAAGGGTACTTATTCTTTACAGTTATACTATTCAATCCATGATAATCAATACACAATCTTAGGCATCCATCCTTTTTTTTAACAAATAAAACTTGAGCACCCGTGGTGATATACTTGGCTTGATAAACCCACTTCCTAGCAGTACTTGTAACTGTATCTTAAGTTCCTTCAATTCATCTAGTGCCATTGTGTGGGATGCCTTTGAAATTGGTTTATTTACAGGTACCAAATCTATAACAAATTCTATTTTTCTATCAAGAGGTAAGGAGGTTGATTCTTCAAGAAATACATCTGAATACTCTTTTACTATTGGAACTTTGTTGTTTTCTAATTTCTCTTTTCCATGATTCATTAGTTAAGCTAGATATCTAGTACAACATTTCCAAAGTAGTTTTCTAGCCTTTGCTTCTGATATGATTATATTTGAACATGGCATTTTCTTTCCCAGATGTTCTATCTCAAGTTGCCTTAGTGGATAGAACCTTACCACTTTGGTTTAATAATCCAAATTTGCATGGTGACAAGCTAACCAAACCATTTCTAAAATGATGTCATATCTTGTATAGACAAAACTATTTAAGTCTGCCATTAATACTTGGTCAGCAATCTTAATATCGCAAGGTCTGAATACTAACTCCATGATCATATGTCTACCAATAGGCATAATCACATCTAACTTATATGGTAGTTTATCAATTTTCTTTCCCATTAGTTTTGCAAAAATAGGAGTAACAAATGAATGAGTTGATCCAAAATCTAAAAGCACTTTGGTTATTCGTTGGTAGACTAGTATCGTACCTTCCACAATGTTAGAAGCCTCTACAATTTCTTCTCCTTCCATGGCAAAGACTTGAGTTTGAATCTTGGGTTTGTTATTTAGGTTATTCTTTTGTCCTTGAGAGGCATTATCTATTGCTCGCATTCTTGGGCAATCATTGATATAGTGTTTCTCACTCCCACATTTGATACATTTTCTATATTTCAGCCAATATCAATCATCTTCGTGTCCTAATTTCTAAAAATATGTGCAAATGTCTTTCTATCTGTCTTGACTATTAGAACCAGACTTTTCTTAGATAGTTATTCATGGCTTGTTCTTGAGGTACCGAGCCTTCTGGGTCTCTTCATTAAATTTTAACACTTCTTTGACCTATCCTACCCTAGTGCGATTATGAAGGGCGGGTTTAACTTGAATTCCTACTTGTCTCCTAGTTTTGCTAGATTCTACTCTAGAAGTTAGCTTTGTTGTTTTTGAAGAGGTCTCTATCACACTGGTAGCTAATGCATCATGAATTTCCCAACGTAACTCGCTAAGAAACCGTTTAACATGATCTTCGCCAATTGCAACTAACAGGGGTGTAAATTTAAATTTAGAAGGTTTTGTAAACATGGTTTCATATTGAGCTACAATTATCCTTTCTTGTTTCAAGGTAAGGAATTCCTCTTCCTTCTTTTCTCTAAGATGATAAGGGTAATATTTGTTGTTCAATTCTCTAAGAAAATTTGCCCAAATATGTAGGGTATTGTTTTGTTCCTACTTAAGAGAAATGGTCATCCATCATTCCCAAACTATGCCAAAGAGTTGATAGGTGGCTAACTTAATTTTGCACTTCTTTGGGTAATTTAGAACTCCAAATATTCCTTTCATCCCCTCCAACCAGCTTTCCCATCACTAAATTCTCCATCAAATTTTGGTGGACAAAACTTAAAAAACCTTTCCAAAATTACATCATCAACTGAATCATTGTTTGGTGGCAAATTCAGGTATATTTATGGGTTTACCACATGATTCATTTGTTATTCCATAATCTGGCTGACCTTATTTAGAGTAGTAATAATTCTATTTATCAAGTCATTACTCCCTCCCCCTGATAGTTTTATTAATTTTTTGCTTCGAATCATCCTATTTACATAAATAAAACTTTAATAAATATGCATGGAGAGTAAATATTTACAATATCACATTCCATATATATTAGTACAAGACTCATACAGGACATCAAGCAAAACATACCTTTACAAATATGTGCCAAAATTTTTAAAGTACATCATTTATTTTATTTATATTGTCGAACTATACAGACTTAGATACAATATTTCATTAGTCGGAAGGAATATATGGTTTGTTAACTAAATTTTGGCTCTCTGACCTCCTAGTCTATTCCTTATTATAGTTGCTTTCTGCAATAGCATAGACATGCAATATTCTTGACTACATTGTCCTAAGTTTATTCTTGTATTTTTTGTCACTGCTAAGATGGTTACACCCTTTTCTTGCTCTAGTACCATGTTTTCTTTTCATAATGATTCTAATTTTGCATCCTTTTTAGAACAACATTTTGCCAGATATTCACTATATTTTTTGTAATAGCTTACTTTGTCCTTCAAAGTATGTGCTTCAAAATCATATTTCTCTTACAAGGCAGTCAACTCATGTAACTATCCTTATACCTGAAATTTATTTCAAAGGTTAATCCTTGGTACAACTCCATTTCCCATGTTGCTTGAGTAAGTAATTGGAAAATCTCATCATATTTCTTTTGCTTCCAACTTAAATTTTGCTTGAGTTGTACTTTCACGGTCCAGTTCATGCAGTGAGATACTTGTTTGAGTTCTTTCATAGAATTCAAAACCAAGTTCTCTAGCAGCAATTACAAAAGCGGCTTCATCTGGGGATTCAGCTTCATAAGAAATTTCACCTGTATCCTGATTGACATCAGGAATGGCAGTGTGACAGAGAGCTAGGACTCTGAAGAATTTCTGTATAACATTGGAATGAGTTTGCTTAACCCATTGACCATTCATAATCCGTTCATCTTGGAAGTTAAAGCCTTTAATTGATCTGCCTGTGTCCACAAGCTCAGCATTAGACCCTTCTGCATCGAAGGAAGTATCACCAACTTCAGGAGGCCCTCCCCCTTTTTTCTTTGCTAAAGCCCTCTCTACTTCCGTCAAGCCACGACCATAGGCAATGCCTGCTATAGAACACTTAACAAACTCCATGGAGTTACATGTCAAAGTACCTGTTTTGTCAGAAAGGATGGTATCAACTTGACCAAGTTCCTCATTCAAATTAGATGTCCGTGCACGAGCTGGCTTATCTGTTTCCTCAAAATACATATCCTGATCTTGATTAATAAATATGGTCTGCAGAACTTTTACAACTTCAATAGACACATACAACGATATTGGGATCAAATATTGATACAGCATAAGATCTGTCAAGAAATGAAAAAATGCAGCAAGTGAAGCTCTTCTGGGATCATAAACACAGTTGCATTGCCTGGTCCAGATACCACCTTGTTAATTTCCCATCATGGATATCATTTTTGGTCTCAATCCCAAAAAATACAGAACCAACAGAAGACATCATAATCAAGGTACTGAAAAGGATGTAGATTATCTTGTCCATTTTCCTCTCAATCTTACTCCTCTTGGAAGGAGGGTCTGTAGTATTTTGCATAACTTTTGTGTCATGACCCGTAAAAATCACCACACCATAGATATAATCAGTATTTTGGAGTTTAGAATCTCTCAAAAGAATTTGTTGCACAGAAAGAGGATATTGGCGACCATGGCACAAAGTTCCAACAAATGCATAAAGATCATCATTTGGGTCTTCACACTTGATCACTGCTTTGAAATTCTGAAATGAACTCTCATCGTGGATGGAGGCTGTGACATCTAAGGCATGCTTCACCTTCAGATTGGTTTCTCCATCAAGATTTGATGTCTCAACATAACAAATCCCATCTTCATAGCTTGATGAGACAAGAAAAAGATCAGCAGGAAAATATTCATCCTTGTAGACCTTAACAAGATCACCAACTCGTAAATTCTTCCACCTGGTTTCTTCAAAAGTTTGGTTTCTACCATACACTTGAACCTTCCTATTATTTGCCTCAATATCCTGAAAAAATGTGTGCTAATTCATTTAAATATGGACTCAAAGAAGGAATTAACTTGGATAAACTTAACTTTCCAAAAGCAAGAAGCATTATGCATCCCTAACCCCAGCATTAATCAGGAAGGATTTTAGTCCGCGCTTTCTAACTTGCACAAAAAAATATTACTAGTATATGACAATAGATAAGGGATTTTAGACTTATGTTGATAAGACACTTGATTCTTAAGAAACTAAACTGCTCTACTGTATCTTCTGTAGAGCAGATACACAGAAAAAAAAAAAATGAAGTACAGACCAATAAATAACAGTACTAATTGATCACCAAGGAACCCCAATAACATTAACATGAGTTTAACATAATTCTGGAACAAGGAAAGGGATAAACAAATTTCCTATGTTTGGTCTTGACCACCATAAATTTAGACTGTCTTTCTCATCTACTTGGACTCTTTGCTCTGGCATCATACACCTAAAATCTCGACAAAAACCGCATTCTTCACTAAAATTGAGACACAAGTTGCAGCTCAATCTTTTCATATTTTCCACAGAAATTTAAAGGGCTAGTCATAGACGAAATGCAGAACTAACAGCAAGTAAAATCTGCCATCCAATGGGATCAAAAAACCCAAAAAAAAACCACAATTTCAAAAATTGAAGTCAAACTTACCTGTTTCCTACGCCTCCAATCTTCCACACCCTCCTTCGCCATGGTTGCTCCAATCACCACCAAAAGAGGAAAAAGAATACTAGTAGCACCAAATGGGGCCAAGGGACTAAAAGAAACACAAGCCACTACAAGAAAGTATATATTGGCCACTCTCCTAAATTGCTCAAACAATGACTTGGGTATGAAATTCAGAGCTGTGTACTTGGTGGTCGAAACATAATTATCCTGTACCTCAGCTGAAGCTGTTCAAGGTTGTCTGGATCATTACAGTGCACATTTCTTGAGAAACCGCTCTGCCCAATTTGACTATGCTCATCATTCAACGAAGACCGACAGCATGCGAAGTTGCAAAGCTTGGTGAAATGTACTTTACTCTTCTTCCCCCTCCTCCTCCCCCCTGTCCCAAAAGCCATTTTTCTGAGTCACACTACTGTTTCTTCTGCTACTTTTTGGTCTCTGGGATGATAATTCTTGGCCAGTCCGAAGAAACTCCAAAACCAAAGTATACTAAGCTTCAGAATTGAGGCAAATTTACTCGCCAGCGCGACACATGGTAGTGCTTTATGAAACACATGTAACACCCGTCATACCATCATGTGTCAAGTTATAATTATTTAAATTATAATAATGGAAAAGGGCGATTCTACTGTTCTTATATTAGTATCATATTTTTGAATTATTAAATTGGCGGATGGTGAAATATGAGCGTTTTGAACTTTAAATTGTAGTATTAATTTTAATTATGTAAAACTTGGACCCCTATTATCACTAAAAAGATATGACTATTGGAGGAATTGTTGGGACTATAGAATTTTTTCAATAGGATTGAATTGGGCAATGTCAAAAGTCAAACTCCAATTGAGATTATAACATCATAATAGAGTCTCAGGTGCATTTGCTAAAATTGAACTTTAAAAATTGAAATCTGAAGTTTCAATTCATCAAATTAGTGAGTTTCAAATCTTAATATGTTCAGACGCGTTTGATAATTAAAATATTGAACATCTAAATTAATTAAGCGGTACTGAATTTTCTAGATAAAACTTACTATCATAAATAAATGAATAATTTATCACTTAATGGAATATACATTCAAATGTATCAAATTTAGAGTGTGTTTGATAAAATTGAAGTCTGAATTCTGAATCCATTAAGTCATTGAATTATTATGTATTAAATCTAATACATTTGAGTGAGTGCATATTATATTCAGTGATAAAGTGAACAGCTTATCACTTATTTTTGGAAGCAAGTTTTGCCTAAAAAATTCAGTGCCACTTAATTAATTCAGATGTTCAATTTTTGAGTATCAAACAGTCTAAATAAATTAATATCTGAATCCATTGAATTTAAGTTTGAGTTATCAAACAGGACTTTAGTACCTAACAATTTAATAATTTAATGAATTCAAAATTTAGATTTGAGTTTTGTCAAACACACCCTAAATATTATACATTTAAGTGCATATCACATTAATTAATAAGTGAATGGTTGATACTCATGTTTTGGAGCAAGTTTTGTATGGAAAGCACAATATTACTTAATTAATTTAGATGTCCTATTTTTATTATTAAATATGTCTAAATATCTTAAAATCTGAATAAATTAAATTTAAAGTATTGAATTAAATTATCAAATAATATGCCATATTTGGTCATGTCGAAAATCTATTATCATTGAGGCACGTTGGCACGACAATTAGAGAATGCCAATCTTGCCTCTAGACAACAAATTATCCTTTTGGCTACGTACTTCTAACCTTAAATACTAGTTGATTGTGTCTGAAAATACCTTTCTAGGTATCGATCACAATTGTCCAGTTGGTTTCACGCTAGATTTGTTATTTGTCACAACATGTATAACATTTTTTCTCCCACAATCTTTACGACAACATTCATTAATTTAAAAATATATATAATATTTTTCTTTATATTGATGAAATCAATTGGATTATGATGTATCGTCTGCCTATCACAATATATCATAAAAATTATTATTAGATATTTTCTATGGGTGCTTAACCCATCACACATAAGTGTACACTCGAAAGTTGAAATTTTAACATAAATATCTCCCAAATATTTTTCAAACTCTTGAAATTCATCATCTAAATATTTATTTTCAATTGAATATGCTAGAAGGCCTTTAATGCCAAGACCAACACTGACAATTTTTTTATTACAAACTAATTTTCTAATAACTGGACTAATAAAATAAGTTTTGCCCTTTTGCTTACTATCAAGATCTACTATCGTACAAGTGAACATCTAACAAAACTACTTGTTACGAGTAATTTTTCGAACCCTCCATTCCAACATTAGAATTCTTTCATATCTTCAAAATTTATCAGTTGTGTAACACTCCTAATTTGTCATGGGATCAACACTTACCCAACAATTAATTTTTGTAATAATTATATTTTCAATGATAATTTCAATATGCTTTATGGTGTGTTCAACTTTGACCTTCAAATCAGACAATACAACTAAAGTGTATAGTCTATTATACTAAAGTTCGAAAGTACCTAGAGTAATGACAATGGCATATCCTAATTCGATAGCCATATCTCCATTCCTGTTTTAAATTTTTTCGATTCCTTGTTTTTGAATGTAATAGGATACGTTGATTTTCAACAAAATATCTATTTGATCCATAGTTTTAAATCTTGTTTTGATCATCATAAAAATCCTCGTAACTGACAGTCCACAAGCAACTCTGTACCACATACACCATGGCAAAAAATGACAACTAGATCTAACAACCCCAACATACTTCTTAAATTTGAGTTGTACTTCAACATGATTTTACTTTATAATTATGAATCTCAAAATTTGCTCCATATACAAGTTGATTAGAAGACAGAAGAGTTTTGGGAATTAAAAGGAGTCGATAATAAGAGGAGAAGGGTCAATAATTAAAAAAAGGTCACAAGGGAAAATAAAGAAAATGAATCAAAGTAGAAATCATCATATTCAGCCATACCATTACAGTTGAAATATTTGCAAAAAATTCTTTATCAAAGTTAATGTCATGATGAAATGTACTCTTCTATCCAGCCATACCATTTATCAAAGTACCAGAGCACTAGAATGAATTTTGGTTCTCATTTATCCATAATCAGCAGCCGGCTTCTTCAAGGACATAGAGTTGGTAAATCAAAATAGGAATTAGTAGATCACTAATATGGATGCACATAAACAAAACCCAATGATTGTAAATGTAAAGAACAAAAAAGTTAAAAAAATCTTTTTTTTCTTACGAGCATGCAAGATGACTTCCTAGAATGCGAGAACATCTAGTTTTGAAACAGTATCTGGTGAACAAGTTTTTCCTTGTAGAGAAATGAAACTTGTCCAACATAATGAGCTATATCGAGATCCAAATAAAGCTCGTAGGCTGATAATTAATGAAGAAATAAGTCAAGCGCGACACTATAGAAATTACACTAAAGATACTGCGAAACTGTTGCTCAATTTCATCCCATCTTTTCCTTTTGCAACTCTCAACCCAGGATTGGATAGAATACGCAAATCCTCTAGTTAAAAGCCATACCCCATCATTCTGCTCAACCAAGTAATAATCCTTTAATATATAAGGGCTATTAGTTTTGAGGATTACTCGACTATACACACTACAGTCGTTTGTCAATATTTTAAAAAATATTAATCAAGATAATAAGTTGATTTTGCTAATTAATTGTGAAGCGACTTCTGATTAGGAGTGCAGATTGACAAGCGATTTCATTATTGCACACACATTTTTCTAACAATACAAACTCATCCACTTTAATAAATTTTTCACTTTATTTGGTAGCGTTATTGAAGTTTATCTACTCATTTGAAGTGCATATTTTTCTTATTTCTATAAAATGTTGAAAAAGACTTTCCATAAAATTGAATTCAGTAATGAATCAAAATGATGTTTGGATATCTTCATTAGATTTATAATTTTATCGCTGTTATATATAAAACTCGTTATCCTCTTCTCCTGTGCAATGATGTTTTTACATTGCCCATCTTACCATTACCTTCCAACATCAAGTCAACACAATAAGTAGCACAAAATAACTAGAATAGATTTTTTCATTTTTCAATCAACAATTGTCCAGTTGGTTTCACGCTAGATTTGTTATTTGTCACAACATGTATAACATTTTTTCTCCCACAATCTTTACGACAACATTCATTAATTTAAAAATATATATAATATTTTTCTTTATATTGATGAAATCAATTGGATTATGATGTATCGTCTGCCTATCACAATATATCATAAAAATTATTATTAGATATTTTCTATGGGTGCTTAACCCATCACACATAAGTGTACACTCGAAAGTTGAAATTTTAACATAAATATCTCCCAAATATTTTTCAAACTCTTGAAATTCATCATCTAAATATTTATTTTCAATTGAATATGCTAGAAGGCCTTTAATGCCAAGACCAACACTGACAATTTTTTTATTACAAACTAATTTTCTAATAACTGGACTAATAAAATAAGTTTTGCCCTTTTGCTTACTATCAAGATCTACTATCGTACAAGTGAACATCTAACAAAACTACTTGTTACGAGTAATTTTTCGAACCCTCCATTCCAACATTAGAATTCTTTCATATCTTCAAAATTTATCAGTTGTGTAACACTCCTAATTTGTCATGGGATCAACACTTACCCAACAATTAATTTTTGTAATAATTATATTTTCAATGATAATTTCAATATGCTTTATGGTGTGTTCAACTTTGACCTTCAAATCAGACAATACAACTAAAGTGTATAGTCTATTATACTAAAGTTCGAAAGTACCTAGAGTAATGACAATGGCATATCCTAATTCGATAGCCATATCTCCATTCCTGTTTTAAATTTTTTCGATTCCTTGTTTTTGAATGTAATAGGATACGTTGATTTTCAACAAAATATCTATTTGATCCATAGTTTTAAATCTTGTTTTGATCATCATAAAAATCCTCGTAACTGACAGTCCACAAGCAACTCTGTACCACATACACCATGGCAAAAAATGACAACTAGATCTAACAACCCCAACATACTTCTTAAATTTGAGTTGTACTTCAACATGATTTTACTTTATAATTATGAATCTCAAAATTTGCTCCATATACAAGTTGATTAGAAGACAGAAGAGTTTTGGGAATTAAAAGGAGTCGATAATAAGAGGAGAAGGGTCAATAATTAAAAAAAGGTCACAAGG